AGCTTTAAATTGATCCTCGGCCCGTGACTGGTGTTTTATTTTTCTATCATTTTTGTCGCCGAGAACAGTATTACGACAGAGATGTCGTAAATTACGGTTAGTGGAATTCGCTAATGTTTTTCGAACGTTTAATTCGATTAATCTGCTAACAGTTAGTAGAATTCACTAATGAACCGCAATGTTTGAAAAGATTTTTCAAGAAGATCCACTTCGACTGGAAGATAAAACGACATTTTTCCAGAAATTGGGTACTTCATTGTCTGGAGTTATCCAGACAATGAAGTACCCAAGTATCCAGATCTATCCAGATCTGTTGGGCAGTCTCAAAGATGAACATGTGATGCAGCAAACAGATAGACGAAGTTCTAACCTGTAGACTCGCGCCACATTCGATGCATTTCAGCTTGATTGCATAGCAGTCTGTGCAGTACAGACTGTTGCAGTTTGGACATATCCTTGAATTGCTGAAATTACAATGTATTATGACATAGTTTCAGTTCAGCACGTCGAGCGATATATTTCATCGTTTCTACGTTCTGTATTTTTGCCATCAACACTGTGGAAGGAACGCAGCGATGAAATCATTGGCGATGCGCACCGGGCGGCCCATACGATTATATGTTTTTCTGAAAGTCTCAGTCTCCCAGCTTTCCTGGTTCCCAAGTTAGCGATTTTCGCACCAAGAACCCTCACGGCGCCATGCATGGATACCACGCACACAGGAGGCTGAATTTGAAATCTTTGAGTTCTATGAGGACGAGGAACATAACCTCAAAATTTCAGCTCTCTAACTTTTCTGGGTCCCGAACTAGCGGTTTTTCCGCCAAAACTTTCACCGTCTCGCACGCGGGGCTGGGCATGCAAAAGAGTCGGTACCGCGGTCTTGGGGTGGCACTTGATCGGAGAACCTACTGACAAAATTTTGACACCGAAACTTGTTTGGATGCCGAGTTAAAATACCCGGGCAGACGGACACACACACACCCACACACACACACACACACACACACACACATACACACACATACATACACCGGTGTCGTCGCAATATGCGTTTTCACATTTGCATATATGCAAAAACGCATGACAACTGTAATGCTGGACAAGTCGTTATTCTAGCAAACGACCGAAATCGTACATCAGCGGTTGGTATCCACGAAGGTGGAAGTGACCAAACACACCTATATCTAAACATAAGCGACTGCGAATACTCAAAAACACTTCCACAATCTTCATGTGAGATGGTGCGTTCATATGGTGGACATGGCAGACAATAACACAAGTATCATGAATTATTATTTTAGAAGAAATTTCTTTTTAAAAGAGAGATGTAATTTGTAAGAATGCGTATTCATAAACCTTCTTTTCCGAACAGATTTTATTGCAGTAGTTACATTTATAACTGCTGCTTTTGGATATTAAGGATGTCGACAATGACCATCGTCAAGCATCTTAGTTTGTGACAGCACAGCCGAGGAGGAATGCCTTCAAGGCGACTTTCCGTCGCTCTTTTTTAGGATTTCCAGAAATTTCAAAAAAAAAATGATCGATGTCAGCGAAGGCGTCCGTCTGGACATATGAAACGCTTCGAGGAAGTCAGTGGTAAACAGATACTTTTCGTAACCTACTTCTGAAGCGGAGAACCGAATCAAAGAACTGAGACTGCTTATTGTGCGTTTTGTGCTGTGTAACAGCAGTACGAAACGCATATTGTCACAGGTTGTCCGTGTGTGTGTGTTCGCAGCAACTTGTCCGCAACTTTCAACGCGAGAACCGCAGAAGCTTGAAAGCTGAAAATTTAGGGGAATGTTCCCCGCTCACGTGTGACCCCGCAAATTTAAATTCAGCCTTCCAGTGCCCGCGGGAAACACGTGCGGCGCGGCTCGATGGAGCTTTTTGCGAGAAAATTATTATCTTGGGAACCACGGAATCTAGGGAGCTGAAATCTTAGAGTAATGACCATCTGCTCATGCACGACCTTACAGATTTAAATTCAACGTTCCCACGCTCTCGGGTTTCACCCATAACCCCGTGAAGATTTTGGCGGGCAAATTATTATCTCGGAAAAGCCAGCTGAAATTTTACGATGATGTACCCCGCAAATACAATTCCGCAAACTTAAATTCAACCTTCCCGCATGCCCAAGTATCACTCACCGCCCCGTGAAAGTTTCGACGAGGAAAATTATTGCCTCGGGAACCGCGGGAGTTGAGAATCTATTTCAGATTTAGGGTGATGTGCTCCACCAACGTATGACCCCGCAAATTCGGATTCAGCCCTCACTTACCCCTGGGTGCCACGCACGGTCCTGTGAAAGTTTTGTTGGGGAAAATCATTATCTCAGGAGCCAGAGAAGCTAGGAGGCTGAAAATTTTAGGAGGATTTTTTCTGCCTAAGCAGGAGCTTCACAAACTCAAATTCAATTCCTAAGTATGCCGAGCTCTCACGTACAAAATGTGAATGTTTTGTCGCAAAAATTACTCGAAAGTCAGAAAATTAAGAGACTGAAATTGTGGAAGGATATTCACCCTTCGAGGTTTAAAATTCAGCTTTCACGTACCGATGCTTGAAATTTTTAATTATTTTTCAACGTTTCATCTATTTTTGCACAGACCAAAATGCAGCAATGAAAATCATTAACAGGCAGTCGTTCAGTGGACGGAATTGCACAAAATGTATAATCGTACCGACTAGTCTGATGCGCATCGCTATTTATTATTTTTGCTTTGCTTCAGTAAAGATTTACAGTAACCTGAGAGATCTAGGCCTATTTCACAAAGGACTAAACCTCTTGTATTTTACGTGGTGAAAAGTAAACTTTTCTTTCATTTTCTACTAAAAGAAAAAACAAGAATTCACCATAGGAAGAGGCCATTTAGGAACGTGATGAGGGACCCGTGATGGGGGACCTGCCTCAACATCTTCGCAATTTAAGTGTGGCTCCATCTCTAACAATAATAAATAGCGGCGCACACCAGGGCAGCCGGTGCGATCACGCGTTTTTTGTAATTCCGTTCACCGAACGATTGCCTCCCAATGACTTTCACTGCTTTGCACTTTGGTCTGTGCAAAAATAGTTGAAATGTTGTCTGGTTCTTAAGCTTTCTTGTTTTTTCTTAAGCTGCGGAATTTCCCATTAGAAATTTCACGAACACGAGATAAATTCTCTGCCAAAACTTTCACGGAACTGTGCATGGTATCCAGGGGTGCGTGAAGGCTGAATCTAAATTTGCGAAGTCGTACGTTTGTAGAGGAGATCACCTTAAAATTCTCAACTTTCACGGTCCCCGAGATAATAATTTTCCCCGCCGAAACTTTCACGAGGCCGTAAGTGATATTCGGACGCGAGAGCGCGGGAGCGCAGAATTTGAATAGGCAGGGTTGAGCGAAGGCAGGGGGTTATTACACTAAAATTTCAGCTTTGTATATTGAAGAATAATAATTTACCCGCCAAAACTTTCACGGGTCAGTAGACGACACCCGAGAGCACCGGAATATTAAATCTGAATAGGCAAGGTCGAGCTTGTGTAAGGGTCATTACCGTAAAATTTCAGTTTCCTAGACTCCGCGGTTCCCGACAAAAATTTTCAAGGGGCCGTATATGTTACCCGCGGGCAAGGGAAACCTGAATTTAGATTTTATGGATAGCACCTCGGTGGAGGGCATGCCCACAAAATTTCAGCCTTCTAGCTCCCGTGATTCCCATGATAATAATTTCACCCGTCCAAAATTTTACGGGGCCGTACGTGTTACCAGCGGGTACCGGGAGGCTGAATTTAAATTTGCGGGGTTGCACGTGGGTGGGCAACGTTATTCTAAATTTTCAGCTTCCTAGCTTTTGTGGTTCCCGAATTGAAAGTTGCGGACAAGCTGCTGCGGAC